GTGTGTACTTTTTGGGGGAGAGTCTCATTTTTTAAAAAATCTGCCTTCACAGATTTGCTATGTCAATATTATTGACTCAACATCAAATAGAAAGGCCTGTAAATATGGAGTATCCCTCTAGGTGGGTGTTTGGATTCATCATTTACTTTTCCTGTATTACACGTTATATTAAGTCATAACATCTATTGATCTGACAACTTCTGAGAGTTGATTGTATTACCATGTCATGTTGTGTAATTGAGAAATACAAACAATCCATTTGAGGAAGTAACTGACATGTAAATCCCCTCTGTCACCCTGTAATATGCATATCTTGCCTAATATTGCCTCATCAGAAAAGTCATGCTCTATTTTGTCTATGTTTTTTCTGTGCAAAACACATCATGATTTTTCTGACAACACAAGAGGCTGTCAGACATCGAAATAATTCCATCCCTCCCCTTCATTGAGTATATGACTATTACCTGAGACTATGGGCTGGATCACTCCCTACTAAACACCACACTTACACAACTAACTATTCTCCATCACAGTCCTTTTAGGTTGTGAATGTCTCAAAAATAACAATGTAATGAAATTGAATGTAATAAAGTAGTGAGGTAGACAAATGATCTAAATTATCTAATAATTACGGTAAAGACATTACCAAGATGTCAGAGCAAGAGGTTTCAGCTTTCATCCCCCACACAAAAAAATAATTAATTAAAAAGTTGTGGATAGACAGCTATATGCAAACTAAAATTGCTGAGGACTCAAGGACCCGCTAAAATATCAACACAGTGGAGAAAAACAACAACAACAAAATGAAGAATCTCCATACAGAAAGGATTTCTGGTGAAATCAGCACACCTGATTCACCAAGAGGCAGCTAGGACCAAAGCGTATACATGGAGGCTATTGGTATCAGCCACACAGCAGGAGCTACGGTGGTCCTTAGCAGCCTGCTCCACAGGGGACTTCAACATCTTTTGCCAGTGAGATAATCAACAGCCATTCCCACTAGGAAATGGCTGCATATCGCTCTTTCTCCCTAGAACCAACCATTGTTGTGCTGCTTTGGGTCAGTGCTACCAATCCTCCCAACACTGCATGTGTCCCAGTCCCCTCAACTGTGGTTTCCATGTGAGTTTTCACACTACAGCCCTGGGCTCTGTGACTGCACCACACCTGTCTCTGTCTCATCCCATGCAGCCATTACAATTATGAGCTAGTTCAGGAAGTTAAGGTCTCCCTGAGCATATTTGTGCTCCAGGAATCAGCTCCACTACCATAAAGTGCTAGGTCCCACCCTGCAACTGTCTGTACACCTAGGCTCACATTCTCAATGTTTCGGCAGCTTCACAAGTACCCATGCCTCACATACTACTATCAAAATAGAAGCAGATATCTCTGCACCCCAGGCATGGGGATCATGACTGCCTTAGACCATAGAGCCATAATTCCTCCATGTGTGCCTCTGCTTCAGGCTTCAGTTCTCTGACTGCTCCACAGGCACCACCTCTCAGACACCAGCACCACCACCAATATAAACAGACCTGCATGCTAGACCCAGAGAAAAGAGAAATCTTCTCAACCACAACTTCCCTGATGACAGAAGAACAGATTGACAGGACCTTATCAGCCATCACTACTAAAGACCCAAACAATTTTTGTTGCCACTGTAAGTATCCACTGTTATAACTCCTGAGGATTCCTGAGATCTTCATCAGTGCTGACTCAGCTGACAGCTGCACAGAGAATACAGTTATTCTCTTAATATTGCCAGAACTGTGGCACCCCACCTAGCCAATGTCTTTGAACTTGCTGAATAAGAAAAGATATTTCACAACAAAATGGGGCTATAAAGTCTGAAAGAGGTGGCTTATCCACCAAATTTTCAGGCAACAAGAAACATGAAAGTCAAGAGGCATTTCACCACCAAAAGAACATAATAATCTCCCAGTAGCTGACCTAAAGAAATGGAGATACATGAACCATCTGACAGCAATTCAAAGTAATTGTTTTAAAGCTCAGCAAATTTAAAGAAACTATAAAGAAACAATTCAACAAAATTAGAAAAGTATACATCGAAAATAAGAGAAATTTGACAGACATTGAAATCATTGAAAAAAAAAAATAGAAGAAAAAGCAAAGACAAACAAGGCCCATCCACAGTGGTACATGCTGTTAGTTGCTGTTCTCTACAGAATGTGAGCTTATCAGAGGCATGGGTCCAATTCATGGTCCAACCTAAAGGCTGGGACCTCGGCATGCACCTGTTATCTCATCGACATAACTGTAGTGTATTCATGATAGAGTGTGCATGTGTGATACGAGAGAGAAGCACCCTTGACAAAGTCTTAACACACCACGATCCCCTTGTCCCAGTCCTCCATTGTGGCGAGCACTGCATACGGGAGCCATCTCGAGCTATCTCGAGACACTCCATCTCCTTAGCGTCATGGGCACATGTGCATGCATTCTGGGTGCTTTCAGGCCAACCCCCAAGGATCCAAATTTATGGTCAGAAAATGGCTTCCAACACTGCAATTCAACCTTCTAGCAACTGTTGCATTTATTGATTAAGTATAATTGTAAGAAATAGGAGGTTTGAAGATACAATAATAGAGAGGACAGTTGAAGATACGAGCGGCTGTATAGGAGAGTAATTAGTGGAAGGTGGATAGGAAGGGCTCAGGACAAACAAAAACAACATTTAACAAACATTAGAATGGAAAGTTATTTGTTGAAGATGATGTATATGGTAATATCTTTGACTTGACTGCATGCACACTTTGAAAAACATATTTTATGCTATAAAGATACACAGTGATAGAGCCAGCAGATAACATCACAGTTACATTGCTGGACACCCACATGGCCAACTGTGGTTTGAGTCCCAGACCCAGTGACTTCAAATTCATACTGGGTGCATGTGTGGGCATGCCAAAGATCTCAGGAAGAGAATACAGGAGAAGGGATTGTGGCATGGCCATCCCCCCTCTTAAAAAAAAAATAGATGCACAATGATTAAATGCAAATAAGAAATCATATCCAAAAGATTCCAAAAACATTTTTCTACAAACATACCAAACGTAATCCAAAATTCCTATGGAACTGCAAAAGATCTCAAATAGCAAATTGAACTTGAGCAAAAAGAAGAGAGTTGGAAACATTACACTATTCAATTTCAAAACCTACTATTATAAAAAGCTATCATAATAAAAACAGCATGGCACTGACATAAAAACAAAAACACAAACCAATGACACAGAATAGGGACCAGTGTGAGTTTTAAGATGCCAAGTCTGGGACTCAAACCATGGTTGATTATGTGGGAGTGCAGTGACGTAACCATTATGCCATCTGCTGGTCCCAGATAATTTGTATTTCTAATTTGTATTTCTTGAGTAACACAGTTTCCCAGTATTACTCTTTGCCATGTTTCCTGTCTCAGCACTATTGACATTTCAAGCCAGATGACTCTATATGGGGGGCTGTCCTGTGCATTATAGGATGTTTAGCAACATTCCTGTATTTTCCCATTAAATCCCAATAGTATCCAGGCTCTCCAAAGTTGTGACAACCAAAAATGTCTCAAGATATTGCCAAGTGTCCCCTGAGGACAAATTCACCATCAATTTAGAACCACCGTTCTACATCGAGTTGTTCAAAACGGTGTTCATTTTAATATGCAGGTTAATATACAAGTATTAAATGGAAGATGAATATGTCAACTTAGTTTTAGTCTCAGTCCTGTAATGACAGGGCTATGCTGCACACGTGCACAACAGTGCCTGGGTGGGAGTATTTCCATGGAAGAATTGGCTGAGTTGCTAGGCCAAAGGAACAAAGGAAAGTGGATGGAAAGCAGGTGCTTGCTTGGTTGTGTTCTTGGGAGGGGAACGCTTCTGCCTGCTGGCTTTAAATAGGTGCTCTGCTGACTTAAAAAAAGAAAGAAAAATGCTATTTAAAAAAAAAAAAAAAAAAGGAAAGAAGGAAGGAAGGAAGAAAGGAAGAAAGAAAAAGAAAGAAGAAAGAAAGAAAGAGAGAGAGAAAGAAAGAAGAAAGAAAGAAGAAAGAAAGAAAGAAGAAAGAAAGAAAGAAAGAAAAGAAAAG